CTTGTGCTAACTATAAAGGAGAGTTAAGTCTTTAGAAAATGTCTTAGAACCTCTTAGTATTTTTTCAGTGTTAGCCATCTGGATGAGTCTTGGCCATTGCTTGACTGAGTTGTTGTTTATGAAAGCTTGGGAGATTATTTTTGGTGACTCCCTTGAGGCACACTGTATATTGTTTTTCGTTTGTTTGTTTGTTTTGTGGTACCAGGGATTGAACTCAAAACCTCACGCTTGCCAAGCAGCCGTTTATGCTGAGCTAAATCTCCAGCGCCCACACTGTATATTGTTGCCCATGTCTTTCTGTGGTCTCACAATTTCCTTGGTCAGAAGACCAGGGCCTTCCTGAGTTATGGAATGTTACAGCAGAAGTGTTTTTATATCTTAGGTCTTTATTGACTCAAACAGCTGGTGCCAAAATATTGGCTGTCATTTTAGCCCATGTTTATTTTCAGTTTTTGGTCTCTAACCATTAGTTGTTGAACATCTAGAAGAAAACACTGATAATAATACAGTATAATAGTGGCAGGAAGCTTAACATAATTGTCTTATCTAAATATCAAGGACTGGGGCTGGGGATTTAGCTCAGCGGCATAAGCGCCTGCCTTGCAAGCAGGCAGTCGTGAGTTTGATCCTCGATACTGATAAAAAGGAAAAAGACAAAAAAAAAAAAAAAAAAAAAGAACCATTTTTTAACAACCATGGATGCTTTAACATTTGAATACCGGGGTTGGAGGTTTAGCTCAGCAGCATAAGCGCCTGCCTTGCAAGCAGGCAGTCGTGAGTTCAATCCCCAGTACCGATAAAAAGGAAAAAGACAAAAAAAAAAAAAAATTTGAATACCTGTAGAATGTTAACAGTTACACATTTTACATGTAAATTAGAAATCAAACCATATACAACATTATAGCATGACATCTTATAACACATCTGAATTATTTTGACATAAAATACCCTGTTTAGTCAACTATCTCTGTTTAATATGTAAAAAGCTTTGATTTAACTCGTTGACCTTTAGTGGGATGTATATTACATTATGAAAAACTTTCTATCAAAGCATCCTTTTGATGATGACCAATGTAAACGTAGCACTATAATATACTTTTAATAATTATTGTGGCATTTCCCATAAGGCTTTGGAGATCACTGGGGCCTCCCATAAATGAACAAGAATTGGTTAAAATTATTTTAAGCAATTGGTTTTTTTATTTATCAATTGGAGTCCTGTCCAATAATTTACCCCCATACTAAGGGATTTTTGTTTACTATCATAACAATTTTTTGATGACTTATGAAAACCCAATAACAACATTTAATACACTACTTTTGAATAATGAGAGACTCAAATTATGATAAACAACAAAAAGAATTACATTTACACAACCAATTTTAGCATTATTTTGACCAGCTGGCAACTTGGGTGGAAGCATATTTTTTAAATTATTACCCAAATTAATTATGAACAAATGATCTTAAAATGCAAAAGAGAGAAAAAAATGTTTAGTTCAACAGTGGTCACTGTTGATTTCCTGTTATCTTGTTTTGAAATCCTGTGTTGCTTGCATTGTTTTGTTCTGATCTGCTTTGTTCTGTTTTGTTCTATTCTCTTTAAAATAAGACAAAAAAGATGTTCAGCTCAAATAAAGACATCTGTTAACTTATTTGGACAAATGGACAAACCAGTACACAGCTTGTCAGTGTTTATGAGAGCTCTCTAAGCTCCTGGGGGTATTTCATATCCCTTTGCTTAACGAGCTCACTTTTTATGTCCCTGTGCTTTATGGGCTGGAACATCAGTCTACTTTTAGCACTCTATGTCCTCAGGGATTTTTTCAGACATCTGTGCCCTGGCAGCACTCTTGTTTGGGAACTTGTGCTTTTGACTCTGCACATGTGAATGATCACTAGCTCAGCCTCTCAACAACAGCTTAACAAACTGGACAAACAGACACACAGGCAGACTGACAAACATCTTAGAAAATCAGAATGCATGCAAATGTATTTTAACCAAATTGAATCACCTATTTAGGTGTTTGATTTTTATTTTTGATTATCATCTCGGACAATATACATGGTAGGGATATTGTTGCTGGTGATATTGGTATTGTAATCTTGAAACTATTTTGTTGTACAGTACAGCAAATCAAATAAATACATACTGGCTGTTGGAAACCACAGTTTTCACCATGGGTAAAATGATAAACAAATGTATAAAAGTTGAAATGAAAGTTCTGTGAATTTGTATTTTGGTAGGAAACATCCTATAACATCCTGATCTACACACACAGGCACACACACAAAAACACATGCATTTTCTCAAGCTTATTCACTAACTGAGCAATCCATTGTCTGAGATCCATTATGGGATAAAGTACCTAACATACACAATTTAAAGGGGAAAAGGTGCAGTTCGGCTGAGGATCCAGAGGTTTCAAGTCATGGCTGGCTGGCTCCAAGACAGAAATATCATGATGTAGGGGTAGTTAAGGGATACGGCCTTAAGGGATACAAGCAGAGATACGACCAGACCTGGTGGCTGATGAATATAGGATTACCACATGCCGATCATGTACTATGAATGAAGAAGTTACTCTTTTGAAACTATAAGTTGCACTTTTTGTAACCTCCTAGACCCTTGATCTTTTCCTCAATCGGGAAACAAAGGCTAACACCCCGATTGGCCTAGGTTACACCAATCAGTGAAACAGTTATTTTCAGAAACTAGCTTATCCTTTTGAGTACAGTGATTCCCTGAGCTTTGGGAGACTCAGCTGAGCTCCTCCCACCTTGACCCAAGGTAGCTTATCCATGCACATACAACATGAATAAAAAAGCCTTTGCTTTGCACTTTCATCTTTGACTTTCTCATTCTCCACAAGACCTGGCTTCCTCATTTTCCCTGAGAGGCTTTCAGCTTTGAGCCAGCCTTGCCTCACTTCTTCAATCTTTGCTGAAGTAAAGGCACAAGCCAAGAGGGCTGGGAAGAGACAGACAGACAGGGATAGAGACAGAGAAACTGAGAGAGTCATGTCCCTGGAGACCCCTGGCTTCCCAGATCCCCACCAGATGCTGAACAGACGCACATGGCAGAGGAAATCTCATCTCATGGCAGCCAGGAAGCACAGGCAGAGGGGAAAGCCAGGCAGTGACAGAGAGAAGGTGGCGGGCGGGGGAGGGGGGGCAACATGGTCTTTAAACTTCATTGTGTCAATTTGATTGGCTTGAGAGCCACCAAGGAAATTAGTAAAGCTTATTTCTGGGTGTGTCTAGGTGAGCCATGGAGGCACAGCCTTGGGTACTGTTTTAGTTTAGATCTAAAAGAGTCTTCAAAGCCTCATGTGTTTGGAAGGTGACTGGATTATGGGGAGCTATAGTTGCTGTCAGGGAGGTCAGAAGAGGTGGATCACTTGGGGCGTGACTTCCCAGGGTACAGATCCCTTCCTGGCTCATCCCTTCACTCTCTCTGCTTCCTGACGGCCATGATGTAAGCAACTTTTCCTCCACCTTGCTCTCTGCTATGCCATGCTGCCTTGGAGTCAGCAGATCACAGACTACAAGTGTGAACCAAAATAAACCTTCCCTCCTTGAAGTTGTAGGTGCTGTGTATTGTGTACCGGCGACAAGAAAGTGACAAAGACAGGTCCTGTGTCTGGTTCCTCACCCCCTCTTCTCTGGCACTATTCCTGGCCACCGTGAACTAAGCAACTTTGCTCCACCACACCCTGTCATATTTCTACCCTAGCAGCTGACAATGGATTCAATCCCCTGAAACTATGAGCCCAGATTTCACCTCTCTTGTTCTTTACTTGTGGTATTAGGTATTGTATGTCAGAAATAGGAAAGTAGACCAGTGCCAAAGAAAGCCAAATAGAGAAAGGGACAAGGACAAGAACCTACCCTTCCAGGTTATCTCCACCTCCAACCTACTTCCTCTGTCCAGGCCCCATCAGCACATTCAGCTATGACTTCCTCAATGGAGGATCCACTAATGATGCTGCATCCTCATAATCTAATCACCTTCAGAAGGCCCCATCCCGAACACAGAAGCCTTTGGGGGAAACTTTTTGATCCAAACTCTTACTTCAGATCTTTGGTTTCTCTACTTCACTAAAAGAATGATGGATTCCAAGCATGGAACAGAAAGATTTGCAATTCTTACCAGCTACTTGGATTCAGATATATTGGTTCTTTCTCTCATTGCTGACCAAATCAAGAAGAGTCTTTATTTGGGTTTTTTAAAAAAAGGATTTATTCAAAACTAGCTCGAAGGAGACAGAAGGGTCTTTTGCCTCAAATCAGGGTTTTTCATGTTAAGGAATAATAGAGCGAGGGGCACAGCGGTATCGCTGCTCTCCACACTTGGGTTACCATTTTGGTCATCTTCAGCGATTTGTCCCTTTTCTTGTGGAAAGGAAACTGGGCTCCAGCCTCCCAGGACAGTGTCTTCACAATCTGTCACAGCTTTAGGGCAGAGGAGAAAGTGTTGGTTGTGTGCTCAGGGAGAAGTTTGGAGAAACTGCTTGTCTTTAAAGAAAAGAGTCTTAGAATTTCATTTTGTACTGCTGCTTACAAAAAGAGCCTGAGTATCTTGTATGAAAAAGCAAGGCACACGAAAACTGTTGGAGATACAGAAACCAACTGACCACATCTGACATTATTCGAGCATTAAATAACGAAGCTAACTGTATTTTTTAAAAATGTATTTTAAAATAATCCATGAGTTCACTGTTATAAAATGAGAGAGGGCCGGGAAAAGGTAACTCTATAGGAAATGACAACTAGTAAGTGTAGGACTGTACTTCGGGTTCTCGTCTGTGGTGTAGATAACTCAGGGTCGTTGGGCGGGTAAACGTGTAAAGTCTCACGTATTTGGCTGCCGCCAGGTCGGTCCCAGCTAGAGCAGGGCTACCACCAACCCCCAGCTACCACAGACGTGCGGACACCTCCGGGCTTCCTAGAAGGGACGCGCGAGAACCGCGCTAGACGAGGTCCGCTTTCGATGACGTATTTCCGGCCTGTGTGGCGCGTCGCGCCCGACGCGGCGGTTGTCAAGACTCCGAGGTAACGCGTCTGGCCGGCTGCGCCTCCGGGGGCCGGCGCCTCGGTGAGCTGCGCCGGAGCCCCGGGGAGGCGCGGCGGGCGGCATCCGCGTGGGGCCTGTGCTGCGGCCGTCCGGCCTGCTCCTGCTGGCTCCCGGCGCTGTTCTTGGACGAACGTTTCCGCGGCCCAGCGCGCCCGGGAGCTCTGTTCCAAGCGCTTCTCAAAGATGCTTCTCACAAGTTCAGGCGATCAGCGCTGTCATGTAGACGCCACCCCAACCCCGCCTCTGCCTTTTTTTGTGACAGCCAAGAAGAAAATGCACCCGCGTTTCCAGGGTTCGCATCCCACAGTCTGCCCCAGGGGTCGCTCTCTGAAAACCGCTGCAAGCGTCCCGCGCCGTCTCAGGATGAGCTTCGCAGCCCGACCCAGGAAGTTGCTTCTATTTGAGTCCGGTGTTCTGTCTTGATACCGGTAGGTTTCCAAATAGGCATCAAGATTAGAGTGCGTATCCGAAAACACGAAAGTGTGCCAGAGGTGTCCAAAAGCCTAATAAAACTGTCATTTGATTTGCATACACTTTTCCCATTTGCCCCCTCTTGTTCTCTGGGCCATAGGAAGAGATTACAGACGTGGGGATAAGGGAAAGCAGCGACTGTTGAGGAAGCCACCATGGTGCCAAAGTGGCTCATCTAGTCATGAGGTTAGTGTGCAAGACGACTTTTAACATTACTGCATTTTGTTGTGTATTCTCAACAGCTCGGAACGTGTCGTTAATTGTCCTCATTTTATACATGAGTTTGTGGCTCAGAAAATGAAGTAATATATCCAAGATTGCTGTGTTGGTCAGAATCCCACAACTAGATCTGCCCACGTTCTCTGCTACCTCATACATATGCCTTCTACCTCTCACATAGCTAGGAAAACTGGGTTCATATGGGTGCATATTTGCGTGTGAATGATTGCAACTGCTTAAGAAAGATCTGCAAAGATCCATTCCAGGCTTATGTATTTCTAGGGAGTAGAATTAGGTGAAGGAATTCTATCTTCCGTTGTATTCCTCGGATATAAAAAAAATGAAAGTAATAATAGCACAGGGTTGGTTTGTGAACTGAGGATAAACAGGAGAACCCAGACAGTTCCTGATGTAGGCTCTGGACGGAGAACATACCAGGGAGGATACTGCCAAGGCCTTGGTTCTGTCTCCTTTCTCTGTTCAAGCCACATGGTTGAAGTGGGTGTTCCTTGAGGATCCAGGCCTGCTTCTATCTCCAGACATTTGCTTTGTCCTTTTTGCAGGGAGCTGTGTTTCTCAATAGCCATGTGACATGCTCCTCCTGTCTCAGCTGTTATCAGCAAAGCCTTCCCTGATTGCCTTGTATAAAGTAGCAATCTCTCTTCCCCTCTTTCTCCTTGTGCCTTACCTTTATTTTCTCAAAAGCATTATCACCACTTTATATATGTATGTTCAAAAAATATGAATATCTAAATTTTAAAAATTTATTAAAATCACTAGTTCACATGTTTATTTTCCTTTTAGAAAATTCCCTTCATTCATTACCAGCATGAATAAGACTGTTCATTGGCCTCAAGTGATCATAGATGTTTGTGTCTTTATTAGCAGTAATTTCTTTTCAAAGAAATGGTCAACTTTCCATCCTCAGAAAGACTCAAGGAGGAACAATTTCCAAAACATAAAGAGAAACAAAAAGCTCAAATTCTACCATTTTAAAGTATTAGAACTCATATTTACTTTACTATTTCTAGGCCAACATCACTGCAGTCAGCAGCCTATGATTCATTTGCCTTAGTACTGTAGATCACTTGATAATTGGTTACTCTTCAACATTTATAAGAAGAGTAACAGTGATTTAGAACCCTTTAGTTTGTTTAGCTGCCAGCGTCTTTGTCCCTTCCCCTTTTTTGTGATCCTACATCTTTGTATCAGGGTAGAAAGATAAGCAGTAGTGATTTTAGAATTCCTCTGACAAATCAGGGCGGCAGGGAACTCATAGATCACGTCTGGTCCCCAGCCCTTCCAGATCTTTCTACTCTACTTTGGTAGGGTAGAAAGGTGCTGGGACTTTGCCCTTCCTCCCCAGGCACATGCTTTTCATTTCTCATTCTGGCTTTTTATCTGCTTGACTTTAACCTCTGCCCTCCATCCTCCATCCATCTTGTTTCTCTTTTCTTTTAAATTCTTAGTTACCACCTGCCTCTACATGGAGGTCTGTCTCCCTTCATGCAGCTAAAAACTTATTCTGAGTCTTACATCTTGCCTTTTAAATGGAAACTCCTAGTGTCCTGGAGGCAGTTTCATTCAGGAAGATCAGAATGGTGTTTCTTTCGGTCCCCTGGAGACTCTGTCCTGTCTGTTTTCCTTCCTATGCCACCTGCACAGTCAGTGTCCTGTGTTCACTGTGTTCTTCGTGAGAAAAAGCAACTGCTTATCACCAGGTTTTCTGCATCTTTGTATTTTTTCCCTGCAAATTATTTTTTAGATCTCAGGATTTCCTGAAGAAAAGTTGAAGGGGGAATTATCAAGAATAGATTGGTTTTTTGAATGGTTAAATCTAAAATGTCCACAGCCTTGGCCCTGCAGGCTACAGGGGCTCCACGAGGACTTTTGGAAGTGAGCGTGAAGGAGGAGAAGAACCATGCCTGTGGTCAAGAATCTGACAGGTCAAGGAAGACCTTTGAAAGCAGGGAGATCTTCCGAAGACACTTCAGGGAGTTCTGCTATCAGGAGACCCCGGGACCCCAGGAGGCGCTGCACCGGCTCCGAGAGCTCTGCCACCAGTGGCTGCGGCCCGAGACCCACAGCAAGGAGCAGATCCTGGAGCTGCTGGTGCTGGAGCAGTTCCTGGCCATCCTGCCTGCAGAGCTGCAGGCCTGGGTGCACGCACAGCATCCAGAGAGCGGGGATGAGGTGGTGACTGTGCTGGAGGACTTGGAGAGGGAGCTGGACGAGCCAGGAGAGCAGGTGGGAAGATGGGGGAACGGGGGCTTGGGCCTGTAGCACATATAAGAGGTTTCAGTGCAACAGGAGAAAAAGAAAAGACTTTCTTTATGCCTGACTTGATCTGCTCTAGGCACTGAATCTCTGCACCTTTTTATTTTGTTTGCTGGCTTCTTGGTTCTTTTCTAGCCGGTGGCCCTGAGGAGCCCCCTTTTCACTATCCTCCGGTACTTCAGTCTCAGCTGTCCTTGGTTTCCACCAGGTCCCAAGTCCTACTTATGAGCAAGAAGAGGTCGTGAGGCAGAAGGCAACTCAAGGAACAGACCAGCTGTCCCCATGCAGCCAGTTCCCGTGCTCAGAAGAGCAGCTGCAGTGTCACATGCTAGAGGCGCGCCCAGTGCAGGAGAGCGGTGAGGAGTCGCAGCTTCATAGGGAGCCCACCCCAGTCCCTGAATGTTCGTGCACTCGGCCATTCACTCAGCGTCTGCCTTGAGCCAGGCTTGGCGCCAGGCGCCGTGCAGACTGTGATGAGCAAGGCAGACCTGGTCCCCACTCCTGCGAAGTTTACATCTGCGAGAAGCAGGTGTCAGACAAGTGTCTCCTCCCGGAGGTGTGGATAGACTTGTTTTAGCCTGGGAAAATACTCACTGACTGGATTGCTGTTTCTCTCTTTGGAAAGATAACGTGCTTGCTGTCCTTTTATTATTTCAGGTAGCGAGGCTGGGACTCGGAATGTTGAGTTCGCACCAGTGGAGGAGAGCTCTAAAGAAATAAAATTTCCTGTGGAAGGACCTGGAACTCTCAGCAGTGGTACCACTCAGGTGCCTGAATGCGGAGATGCCTGTGGCCCAGAGGGCAGACTGGGCAGGCACCGGGTAAGCTCCTCAGCAGCGGAGAGGCCTCACGTCTGCAGGGAGTGTGGGAAAAGCTTCACGCAGAACTCCATTCTCGTGGAGCACCAGAGGCGGCATACGGGTGAGAGGCCCTATGTGTGCGGTGTCTGCGGGCGCGCCTTCAGCCAGCGCTCCGGCCTCTTCCAGCACCAGAGGCTGCATACTGGGGAGAAGCACTACCAGTGCCGTGTGTGCGGCAAAGCCTTCAGCCAGAACGCCGGGCTGTTCCACCACCTCCGCGTCCACACTGGAGAGAAACCTTTCCAGTGCAGCCAGTGCAGAAAGAGTTTTAGCCGCCGCTCTGTCCTTGTGAAGCATCAGAGAATTCACACTGGAGAGAGACCTTATCAATGTGGAGAATGTGGCAAGAGCTTCTTTTACCACTGCAACCTTGTCCAGCATCGGAAAATCCACACTGGAGTTGAGCCTGTGGGCTCCTTGGAGCAGGCAGGGCAAACTCTCTGAGCCCAGACCCCAAGGCAAGGTCGCAAGGGCACGGTTTCTTGCTTGGCCCCTGAGAGAACAATCATAATTTCAGGTAGTGAGGCTGAATAGAAAACTACAGGGAATACCAGGAGAAATTCCTTTAATTTTAGGCTAAAAGAAAGCATAATTAAATGCATCTGTCAAGGTCTCCATGTCAATGACAGCCACAGCTTTGCAATGGCAAATCTTAGTTCTTCATCATAATACATGCTTCGATCTACACACATGTGCAAGAAGTTTCTGGATTCAGGAACACTACATCTTTCTAATTTTTAAAAAAAAAGTTTAAAAACATATGCAACCTGAGTTCAAAATCATATCAAAGGTAATTTACTGAGTATTACAAATTAATTTTAAAATCACAGTAAAATTTACATGAGCTGACTTTTTTTCCATGTACATATAATTTGCATTTTAACCTACAGAAGGAGGCACATGGTGCCTCCCATGCAAATGTATAAAACCTCTCCTTGTTGATTTCTACTCAGCCTTCAGTCAGGAACGAGGACATGGAGCAGCCTCATTACTGGCAGCTCCCTGACTGCTCGCAGGCAGCAGTGATGGGAAGACAGATCTGCACAGCGACCAGGATACTTCACTAAAAATAGGCTATTGCAGATCGTTATTTTAAAAACTTTAGTTTCCTTGCATTTTTCCTGTAACATAATAAAAATGGTTAGTTTTTGCCTTTTGCTTTCTTTTTTCTTTTCTTTTTTTTTTTTTTAAACCGGTACCAGGGATCGAACTCACGACCATGCGCTTGCAAGACAGGCGCTTATCACGACTTCCGGGAGAACATGGCGGACAGATAACAGCAACTACCGGAGGCTCTCTGAAAGACTCGGCTCAGAAGCCAGGAATGGTGCGGACTAAGGAGACATAAGCAGGTGGAGATATGCTCTGCTGACTCAGGAACGAACTGGGCTGAGAGAAGCCAACTTGGAATGCAGTCCTGGTGCTAAAACAGGAACAGAAAAGCCTCGGTGTGGAGGCTGGACCCCACGCCATTGTAAGCCGCGATTTGGGTTTCCCGCCGCACGGCGGCTGGCTGCCTCTACAGTGGCTCGGCAAGGAGAGAGACGCGCAGAAGCTCTGAGAACGGCAATCTGCGAACGGCAGGGAGGCGTGCACTGACTTGTGGTGAGGTGAGTGAGAGAAACTGACACTCTACCACAGTTTGACTCCAGCAGAGGACTTTCTGGGCCCGAGCAGTCCTGCGGGAGCAGGGCGCTGTGGCGACTCCAGCCACACATCCCCCTCTCGGGCGGGATTGGTGAAAAGTGCCTGGCCTGTGTGACGCTGCCAGCGGACCTGGTAGGCTGTCCCAACCCAGATCCCAGAGCCTGACGGTGGCCGGGAGGGGAGACGCGTAGGCTGCCTGGTCCGTAACTCCCTGGTGCGCAGTGGTGAGCGGGAACACCTAACTGGCGCAATTCGATCAGGCTGTGGCTGACTGGGAGAGAAGCTGGGCCTCTTATATAAGCTTGCATATATAAGGAACAGAGAAGAAGAGGCAGCATGGGAAAAGGCAGCAACAAGAAAGGCTCCTCGGCCCCCAATTCTGAGAAACAGGCAATAGCAGACACCTTACCAATATACATAAGGCACCATATAGAGAGCCTCAGACCAATTCAGGAATGAAGTTATCAACGACCTGAAGCTAGAAGTAGGCAGAATAATTAGAGAAATGCTAAGTACCACCCAAGAAAAAACAGGTGGTGGAATGGAAGAACAGAAAAAAAGGGGAGAATTGTTTGATGGAGAAAACAGAGAAAGCATAGAATACATGAAGCAGGTTCAAAGGCACTACCAAGATACTAAGAAGTCTATAGAAGACTGGCATAACAGCTTGAAAGAAACTAAGGACAGACTATCTGAACTGGAGGGCAGACTTGTAATATGGGAGAATGAAATGAAAAACTTCTTAAAAATAACAAAGAAACAAACAGCAATAATACAAAGACAAGAAGATGATAAGAGGATCCATAACTTAAGGATTAAGAACATAAAAGAAGAAGTAGGGACACAAACAAGTGAACTACAAAAGCTACTCACAGAAATAATCCAGGAGAATTTTCCTAATTTAGCAAAAGGTAAAGATACTCAGATGTATGAGGCATACAGGACCCCAGCTACCTACAACCCAAACAGAGCAACACCCAGGCATATAATAATAAAAATTCCAGAAATTCAATACAAGAACAGAATATTAAAAGCTGTAAGAGACAAGAAACAGACCACTTACAAGGGAACACCCATCAGAATTACAGCAGATTTCTCTGCACAAACCATCAAATCACGAAGAGCGTGGGGGGAAATAATTCAAGCTTTGAAAGATAATAATCTCCAGCCAAGATTGAGATATCCTGCACAACTGTCCCTGGAAATTGATGGAAAAACAAGGTGCTTCCAGGATAAAGAGGAACTGGGGGAATTTGCAACCACCAATTCAACTCTAAAGAGAGTATTGCAGGATATTCTAAAAAAAGAAAAATACAAAGAATCCAGAAATAATAGCAGAGAGGCCACAACGAATGGAGCAGAGAACAAAATGAAGAAGACAAACTGATAGCTACTGACAGAAAAAGAGCTCAACAGAAATGAGGCAGAGAAGATTGGATGATAGGAACAGCTTTTTTGTGGAGAAAATGACATCTTAATAGGTAATACTGATTTAGTATCATCTTGTTTTGAAGTCTCATCTAGCTTTTGTCCTTCTGTCTCCAATGGTCTAAATAGGCTGTATCTTATTGGATTTTATTATGTACGATAGTATAAGCAAAAACCTTTTAAAGACAAGGAGATTATACAGAAACCATTGTTCATTTTCTGTTAGTCGATTCTAAATACTCTGTAATGCTGTCATTCTCTTGAATGGTTTTACATTGTTTTGATATACTTAATGCTACAGTATACGAAGTTGTACTCAAGGATTTCAAAGAAAGACAATATGGTAACTACTTTTAGGTTAGGATTATCTGGTGGTGAAACACTATTCTGCTTAAATGGTTATGTTTTGATCTGCGCTGTTTTGTTGTTATGCCCTCTTTTATCTCAATCTCCACTCCATTATTTACTTTTTTATCTTTATCCTTTTAATTAAAGGAAAAAAATAGCAGGATATATTATAGTAACCCACTTTGACTTTTCATTACCTTGATTTAAAGCCCTGTATTACTCTCACCATCTGGTTTTTAACTGATGTTCCCCTATTCTGTTTTGTTGGATAGTATCAGGTTCGAAAGTTTAGGCATCAGCTGTAAAGATAATGAGATTCATTATGACGCCCATTCTTGTTGACTTTTATCTACTTTTGAAGACCTACAATGTCTCCAATGTTTTGGTTTTGTCGGTTTTATTCTTTACTGTTTTGTTCAATTGTATTATAACTAACGATATAGGCAATTCTATTAGAGATAGCGGGAGGCATTATGGTAACCATTGTTGATCACCTTGTATTATGTTTTTACATTATCTATTATGTCCACCCTTTTGACTTGACCGATTCTGTTCTGTTATGTCACATTTGGTTTTACTCTCTTCCAAAAAAGTAATAAGAACTGTGGGAGCAATGAAACCCAAAATGTGTAATAGTCATGGTACAAAAGAGAGGAAAAGAAAGTGCTCCAAACTATATAACTGCATGTATATTTAAGTGTATAAGATAGAAAATGATATCACAGAGTTTTATTGGATCAATGAACAGAACTGTTTGCAGTATCATTGATGGAATGTCCACTTTACAAGCTTTAATTTTGTGACTTGAACAATTATTTCTAAGATGACAAGATGTAATCCATTAACTAGTGATTTCCTACTGTTCATTTTTTTTTTCTGTAAATCTGTATAACTTGTACCCTTTCCCTGCTTTTTTTTTTCTTTTCTCCTTAAATAAAATTAAAAAAAAAAAAAAAAAAGACAGGCGCTTATGCTGCAGAGCTAAATCCCCAGCACCAGCTTTTTTCTTTTCTTTCTTTTTTGGCAGTGGTCATAGGGATGAACTCAGGGCCTGGTGCATGGTAGGCAGATATTGTACCACAAGGCAGTATCTCCAGCCCACTGTTCAATCTTTTGTTTCAAAAGTCTCAGCTTTCCAAGAGTAGAGAGAAAAGTGTGGTCCATCGTGCATGTTGGTTGCTTCTGTCTGCAGTGCTGGGGGTGAACCCAGTGCTAGATGAACTACTCTACCACAGAGCTACGTCGCTAGCCTCTTTAACATCCACATTTCTTGGAACTCTTTGTTGTTGATTACCAGCAAGGTCATACATACAAAATTAAAGTTTCTTTCCCTTGCCTTTAACTGTTTATAAAACTTCTGTGTGTATTTGCGTACCAGGTAAGTGCTCTATTGAGCTACACCCCTCTACATAGAGCTCTACAAAGCTTTATGCTAGACTCGGGAGACAATGCAGTGGAAACCGTGTAGTGATAGCAGTTTTGTTTGTAAGACCAAATACACAGCAGTTAAGTTAAGGATGATAGAATCTAGCTGGATGTAGTGGTACCTCCTTATAATCCTCGCACTGTGTGAGGCTGAGGCAGGATGATCACAAGTTCAGGCCAAAGCTGGGGAAGTTATTAAGACCCTACCTCAAAACAAAAAATTGAAAAAGGGTTCCGCATATAATTTGATGCAAACAGCCTGGATTTAATTCTCACTACCTTAAAAGAAAAAAAAAATCCTAGCAAAATTACTGAAAGACAATAATGATCACTTCTGCATGCCCTTAACTGACAGGGAGAGGAAGCTTTGGGAAGTTACTGTCTGAAATCATGCAGCCAGTTGAGAGCAGAGGTGGGACTCGAACCTTGCCTCCTAAGTCCTAGGGCCAAGCTCTTTCTGCTGTCATTGGAAGTGTTATATCACCACACAGGTGGTACAAGAACATGGGACATAGAAGATTACAAGTCATTGAGTTCAACACCTCCCATTTGTGTTTAATAAAAGTACACCTCTAATTTCCAGGTGGGTTCAGGAACAGTTCTTCCTGCTTCTTAAAGCATTTTATTTCTTTTTGGAGTGATCGTGTATTTCTAACTTACTGTTATCTGGTGGGACTTTTTAAAAATATTTTACTCGGCTCAAAAAATCAAAGCAGTATAAAAACGTCTCCATCTTTTCCTTTATGAGTATCTATTTTATTAGTTTCTTACATTTTAAAATTTCTGTGAATATAAGAAAATACAAATATGTAATCTTACTTCTTCCTTACACAGAAAGATGTCTACTTACACTCTTCTGTGCCTTAGTGTTTTCATGAAAGAATGTATCTTTAGAGATTTCTGTATCATAACAGAGAATTTCCTTATTCTTGTTATAAGTAATATTTCATTTGTTGGTACTCCATAGTTTAGTAAATCATGTAGGCAGAAAATCATTATTTAAACTGTTAGATATTTGGTTTCATTCTCCCCAGCTTAGTCATAATCACATTCTTTCCAATCCAAAGCAAACTCATGTTTTCACATGGGTAAGAAAACAGGGTTTGGGCAACTAAAATTTCACATAATTGTAGAGAGGAATGGACAAGTGAAGGGTGGTGTTTTTCAGCTCAGTATATTTGATTTTGTCATGTATTCATACAACATTTCAAACTATTCATGTCATTACTGGTGGCTTATTGTGGGTATTATTTTTTTTAAATCAAATGTCCTCTAAATTATCTACAATAGAAATATATACAAATTTTAGAGTAAAGTGAAGGAAAATAAAGTAGAATTAAATATGAAGTAAAAACCAAGTAATATGTATATTATACAGTATTACAATACATATGCCATCCTGAGTTGATAAAACATGTTACAGTTTGGATAATCTCATTACATCAAGTCTTAAAAGATTTAAAATATGAACCAGACTTCTAAAAGAAGTGTTTCCAATGGGGTTGATTTTTTTTTATACATGCAACTGGTCACTGGATATTTCTTTTTAACACCTTTTCAAAAATTCTCATTTTTCTTAACTGATAAAATGGTAAGATGCAGTAAGTGTTATGTATGTAGAGACAGATGCACCACTTAGAATGCATTGATTCTTAACATGATTTAAATAACAACTTACCAAAATAGCTTCCTTTGATTTCTTATACTAACTGTGCTATTTGCATGCTAGTTATTTTATCTAGGATGCACCATCCTCATTGGATGAGAAGTAATATTGGACTTAATGGGTAGCGTGACCTGTAGAACTTAGCTATTTCTGTGATTATTTCATTTCTCCCTGGCTAAAAGTTCTCAGTTCTTTCCCTTTCACATTTCTGAATTTTCCTTCTCTCTCCTCCTTTTCTCATCCTTGCTGTTTGATTCCACTCCTGAAGCTTCAGTATTTTCCTGACTCAGTACCTACCTCCCACCTCCCAACTCTACCATGTGTTCAGTCTCAAAGAGCAGAGCAGGCAAAGATCTGTGGTGAACCAGATACGGCAAGTTCTGACTGAAATCCAGGTAAGTGTACCCATTGGTTCTTGTGGATTATCTAGTACCCTCTGAACAGTGCTGGCTGAGAACCTTGCAGCCACACACTGCTCGATGCCTTTGGCACTCTCTGTCATTGATTTAAGGTGAGAGCTTGAGCATCAAGTCTCTGTCTACATTTTCTCTATGTGGTGATATTTTTCCTTTAACATTTATAGGGGAAGATTGTTTTATACTTTTCCAAAAAGAGAAAAATTATCTCTGAGGAGACTTTAAAAATTTTTTTTTGTTTAGTTTTTTTGAGACAAGGTCTCACTATGTAGTTCAGGATGGCCTTGAACTCACTGTAGGGCCAGGTTTGTCCTCATGGTGATCCTCCTGCCTCAGCCTCTCCAGTGCTGGGATTACAGATGTGTGCCACCATGCCCACTATCTGAGGTGGTTATTATAATATATATCAAGTCAAAGTGTTACAGGAAATAGTCCCTTCGGAGGTATTTTAAAATATATATCACTAAATGTTGGCTAGATGCTGGCAGATAGCTGAGGAGGGGTAAAGTCCCTGGGGAAGGAGCCAGCAGTGTTCTGGCACAGGAAGTGGCGTGACGCTGCCCCCATCCAAGAGAGGCTCAGGAGCCAGCACTTCCCTTTCCTTGTGGGCCGTGGAGCTTCTGAAAGGGTGTGCAGAAATGGCAGAGGGCCTTGGACACTGGCCATGAGTTTACTCCATGTTCAGTAAGAGAACATTTGCTTTAAAAGATATGTTTTGTAGTTTAGTCCATTTCCCACCTACACAAGTAAAGCACAAAATACTTAAGGATTTGTAGTCATCCTTTATTTTCACATTTAAAAAAATTTAAAATGAACTACGAAGAACATAGTGAAACAGAGTTAGAGCCTTGAGACAGTTTTAAGCATCTGTAAATGAAAGCAACAACACAAGTGGGAAGAAAAGAACAAAATAGGAGAACACAAAAGGATTAGACAAAGGACACAATTAGATGCCAAAAATCAAGCTAACAAATGGCAACCAAACTGGACATGCGGTGCTGTCCCTCCCACATTTCCTGGAAGTCTCTCAGCTGCTTGAGGGCACAGGTGCTGTTGTGTGAGGCAGCCAAGTGGGATCCTTGTCCTTTACTGCTGCTTAGTCTTTCCATAAATGGAAGCAGAAGTCACAGACCGACTTTGGGCCCATCCCCAGCTTTCCGTGCAGTGATGTGCCCTGCCCTAGAACAAACGGGGTGGTTTGTCTGCAGTGTAGCATTGAGCTGGGGATAGGGCACAGGCCTGTAACCTGAGCCTGAAGGATTTCAAGTTTGAGGTCAGCTTGGGCAAATTAGCAAGACTTTGTTCAAAACTAAAAAATGAAGGAGATGGGGACGTAGCTCTGCACAAAGACCCTGGGTTCAATCCCCACTGCAAAATAAGAGGGAAAAAATAAGCAGTTTCCTGCACTCTACCCCAGAAATAGTGAACCCATTTCTGAGTCAGGGCTTCGGATGGGGGTGGAGGCCCTGCATTTTAACTGGCATGCCAGGATAACTTTATTGCCCAACCTGAGACTAAGTATATTTATACTCAGACAGCAGTCATAAACCAGAAATACACAGTTGTCCTATTTTTTGCAATAAGAAATATTCTTTCCAATAAGGAGACAGGAGACAGAGAACGAAAAGAATGTTAACTTAGGGAAACTAAGGCAGAGGCCCTCACGGCACCCCTGATGCAAGCAAGCAGGCCCACCGTGCCCTTGTAGCACCCCTGAAGCAAGCAGACCCCATGCCACTCACACAAGTGTCTTATAGTTCAAAAACAAGACCCCCAGAGCTCCCAACTTGGTGTCCAAAAATGGGGCAAGACATGTTTTTAAAAGCAGCGCTGATTTATTTTATCTTGGGCCCAGCGACACAGTGCAGTTGGAGTTTACAAAAGCTGTGTGTCTCCCTCAAAACTTTTTAGACTTTTTGTAGAAAGCATGATTTACAAAGTAAGGGGTTATGGCCGCAGGTCAGGAAATAAGAAAATCCTTGATCTGCTAAGGAATGAGGAAGATCTTTGTTTCCTTTTGCAGAGGACAGAGAAGTCTCTCAGGAATTTACAATTCTTTGTCAATTTATTTTAGCACTCAATTTTAGATAATATCTGTCATTTGCAGAGGGCAGCAATGGTTAACCTATCAATTAGGTCAGATACCCAGGAATTTACAGTCCTTTGCAGAGGGGAGCAATGATTAACATATCAATTAGGTCACCCAAAAAAATGGCACATACAGAACAGTATGATGACACTACAGGTACTTTGGTCATATAACTTGAGCATAACACAAACATAACAAATCTCTTTTTGTTAGTGTATAATAAGTGCAGCCATTCACCAACTACAACTGGGTCTACATTTCACTTCACCTTGGCAGAGGGCAGCAGAGGCACTGATTAACTGATGAACCTAATCCTGGACAAGGACATCTGGAGGGAAAAGGTGAGGCTGGAGGACCAGTGGACCAAAGGAGAAAGTGCAGACCTGGGCAGCAGCTTCAGGGACTTCATGTCACCCTCCCCAGGTGGCTGGGTGAGGCCCCTGGGGAGAAGGACTGGGCTGGGCATAGGCCCCAGGGGAAGTATTAGCTCAGGCTGGGCAGGAGACAGGCCCTGGCCTGTGAATGTATGTCCCGACAGGCCACTCCAACTCCTGCCTGCAGCCACGTTCAGAAGAAATCAGGTGATCACGTTTGCCAGTGTGAGCAAGGATATGCCTTGGCCTGGGCGTAACTCAGTCTGAAAGGAGTACATAGAGGGGCCTCTAACACAGAGGAGTCACCTCAAAAATTCATAGGCTGTAAAGCTTGGCCAAGAAATTCGTGACTGATGGATTCCATGACTGAATAGCCTGATTGAAAAATAGAACATTTTCATTAACTGTCCTTCAATTTTTCTATTTTTAATTATTTTTCTCTTTCATTCACTAGTTTTAGTGGATGTTGGGGGTTTTAAGTTACTTTTTTCACTTTAATGTCTTTTCTCATTCTCTTTACCTTTTCAACTTTTTCTACCTTCTGCCTTTACCTTTCATTTTCTGTATTTCTGTTTTTTCTTGTTTTCTGTTGTGATGAGAGCAAAAGCAAAGATCAATGGTTACTCAGATCTAGAAGGCACTGCTGAAAAGTACACATTAACTAAGGAGATCTCCATATTGGTAAAAAAAAAAAAAAAAAAGTTTGCCACTATAATCAACCTGTAAGCCTTAACACAAAACAAAAAGTAGAAACAAGGAAATACATGTCCCCCTAAACTCCCAACCCCACCCAAAGCTACTACTCCAGGCATAAACGGGAAGGAAACCACAAGCCACACAGCCAAGTTATTTGAAAGTACAGCACAGATAACAGATCAGTAAGGTGCTTGGCAAGCTTCCAGAAGGTATAAGTAAACAGTTAATGGGGCAAATAAACAAAGTGATCAGCAACTACAGAAGACTCAAAGAGTTAGCAGAGCTAACAAGATGATACAAAACATGAATAACCAGCATAAGAAAAAAAAAGTCCATAAA